TTGCACATGAATAGCTTGGCTCATATACTGCAGTTGTTTTCTTTACAATACCTTCGCGTCTTCTAAATTCTGGCCAGTGTTGCATTGAAATGCAAGCGGTACATTAGCTGCATTAGAAGCATGCGACTGTCGAGCAGAGTGCCAGATTTCGATGCTGACATCTGTGTACACGTCTTTCCGCCACAGGTGGTCGTGTAGGCACTGCACGGGGAAAGAGAACGATACATAAAAAACAAGACGTGCCTGCAGATTTGTGCTGGTATATCATTTTTCAGTCCTACATTTCTTTTTTTTTTTTTCTGTGCAGTGTGATAAAAATACCATCACCTTCATTTCAATACATATGTACAATATCTGCATAAATGATGAGCCCCATTCTGCACTGCTAAGATGAGCCCCATTTAGCACAGTGCAGATTGTAAGCAGCAGAACAATGTTGTACAGGCCTAACTTCTGAACAAGAAAGCTAGGGGCACGAACCCTTCAGGTGCCAGCAGGACATTCGCTTACAATATGCGCATTCGGAAGAATTCACTGTTATCAAATCTGTCACACACGCAATGATCCAAATCGAGAAAGCCTCTATTTAGATCAGGCGCTGCTATGCAGACAGCTTGGACTAGAATTTTGCTTCATGAGGTGGCATTCGGCAATGGTCAAATGCTACAGTAGCAATTAAACACATCAATAATTCAGGATATGGATAAAAAGTATTACTCAAACCAGAATCAAAATAAAGCGCCCGTGTTACACGGTCACTTTTGTTGGCGATCAAGACTGGCTCCGATAAACATTTTTTGAAGCGCTATCGTGAGCTGCAGCTGCAACAGGGAGATCACGGACTACTGAGTCTCAGATCAAGCAAAACTACTATGAACAGTGTCCACGTAACAGCTCACGATCCACGCGTTCCATAGATTTGTAGTGAGCTTCGCAGAAGCGAGGCAACACATTGAGCTAATCAAGGCTGCAGTAAGTGCGAGCTCACTAACTATGCGCTGCTGTGGCGCGTGAATAATCTTAAGGCCTTGCCTCTTTTTTTTTTTTTTTTCCACGAATGCAACTCGTGGTGGCAGCGAGGGCCCCCTCAGGTGCAAAAGCACTGACAGAAACGCATCGCTGTTCAGTCGCACACAATTAATCGTCAATTCCAAAAACTTTCTCGCAAATTTGAAGTCCTTTCTTTTAATACAGCGACGCCTTTTGCAGCCATCTTCCGATCCCTAAAAACTTGTGAAAAGCAATCGGATCGCAACCAAAAGTGCTGCGGTAGCCATAAGTCGCGCAGTAACTCGGCATCGCGAGTCCATCTTGACCCTGCACAAATACAACTGGCGAATGCCAGATGGCAAGAATCTCCAATCAGAAGAAGACAACGGCACAATGCCAAGCAATCACTACAAACTGTCAGAACTGATGCTTCGCTACACAGCAGATCACAGCAGAAACAAGGCACAATCACAAAGTAAACAAGCTGAGCTGACTGAGCCTCACAGGCGGCCCTGCGGCTCGATCCTTACAATGACGTCACCTCCCCACGTGTATTTCCCCACGTTACGTCCCCGAGATTCGCATGCGCAAGAAGCGGGTTCCCTCGGTTTGCTCGCTTCTAACGCCATTGTTTAATTTTTTTTAAATGCAAAAAAACGTAGGATGAGGTCGCAAATACCGAAAATGAGGTCGCAAATACCGAACTTGCAACAAATTTGCAAATGCAAAACCTCTTCAGTGTCCCTGAAAAGAAGAAAATTCATGCGAGCCTGTTATGTATTTATGCTTAGCAAGCAACTGCTTCATTTTTTGCATGAGTATGCTTCGACACGATTATTGGCCGATTTACAGCTCCAGTCACGAAACAAAATCCAGTTTGACACTAGAACTGTTACTCTAGAAATTAAGGATAAGGAAAACGTACCCTACATTTAGAACTTGTTTTTCACGCCACATAATTGAAGCACACATCAAAACTAATTTTAACTCAGTGTATCGCCGATACCACGCATCGCAAATGTCACATTATTTCTCCTTGATTCCTGCACACCTATGGCAGCAGAAAATCATAGCGCTGGTGGTGACACACAGCAGCATGTGTCCGGTGTATACCTATGTGTTCTTTTCAAGCACCCTTCTTTCTGCTACAGCGACATGCTAAAATCAGGCTGCTTGACGTTATTCATGCGATACTTAGGTTTGTTGCTATCACACTCGTTCCTGTGCCATAGCGACGAAACTGCTTTTTTTTTTTTCGGAAATGCCACCTATATTAGCTGTCAACCTGTATCTGAAACCAAAAAAAGCTTGAACAAAGCTAGTAAATGTATCAAGCTAATGGAGCTCTACTTTCGCACCAGCAACTAAGTGCACACAACATGTAATTTACCAGCTTCAGAGGTACTTTATATATGTGCACTTGCAGTACATTGACACCATAAAAATAAAAAGCGACAATAGAAATATTACCTCTGGAAAATTGTTCAGAGACTACGATGAGTGCTGCAGCTACGATGACTACGATGAGTGCTGCGCAAAGGCTTCAGTACAGAATATGCTCTCATGGCACAGAAAGAGTACATTTATCAGCAATTCGAACAGGGAAACGTTGTGTTGGGGTTGTTCGTAGATTTTACGAAAGCTTTTGACCACATTAACCACAAATTACTTATAGAAAAACTGGAACGGTACGGTATTCGGGGAACGGCGGGATCATTAATACAGTCTTATTTGCAACACCGTAATCAGATTGTTAGCCTGGGTGGTTGCAATTCCGATTCTTTGTCAATCGTTGCAGGAGTTCCACAGGGAAGCATTTTGGGACCTTTCCTCTTCAATATTTACAATAATGATATCGTGAACATCTCCTCTGACGTAAAATTTATAATATATGCAGATGATACGAATATATTTTTAACAGGAAAATCAGTGAACGAATTAATAACACATGCAAATCTACTGCTCATTAGATTAGAAAAATGGACAAGAGAAAACGGTCTAAAAATAAATGTAGCAAAGACTAAGGCTATGGTATTTCATGCTAAAAATAAAGCGGAAATTGTAAAACAAACGATCTTTTTAAATTCCACCCCTGTCGAGATAGTTCCTTCTCTTAAAATATTAGGAGTAATATTTCAAGAAACATTATCATGGGATCACCACATACACTTCTTAGCTACGAAGGTCTCTCAGGTAGTCGGTCTTGTGTACCGAAACAAGCACTTGCTTCATCGGAATATTTTGTTGTTAATTTACAATACCTTATTTTTATCAAGAATCAATTACTGCCATCTAGTTTGGGCTCTAACTTCTAAAGAAAACATAAACAAACTTCATATGTTGCAAAAAAGGTTTGTACGGGCGGTAGAGAACGTGCCACGTACTTATCATACTCGTTCCTTATTTGAAAAATACAACCTAATGCCAGTAATAAAAATGTATGATTTTCTTCTGTCCAAGAAATATAAGCAAGACATAAAAAACTCTAATCCGTTTCTAAAGCAGTTGGCAGATTTAATACTTAACCAGCCTAAGTATAATACCCGGAAAAATGAAGTGTGGACTGTTCGAACCTTTAGAACCACATACGGTCTTCAATCGTCGGGAAATAAACTTCCAAGGTTACTAAATGAACTTAGGGATAACGAAATTGACTTAGAAAAAATCACCTTTAAACAACTGCGGAATCATTTCCTCCAGATGTCATGATCACTCGTTTCTGTTACTTGTAATTTTCTAAAGAATGTATTTTTGTATTTTGTTTTTGTTGACGTGTATTTTGTATACTGCTTTGTGTTTTTTTTACGATATGTTTTTTGGTGGCTTCTTTGTTTTTTCTGTTTTAGGAAACGAGTATGCATTTGTGGTGTTGCCAAAGCAATAAATTAGGCATATTTCTTTTATGATGCTTTTTCTGTGTTTTGCAAGGCAAATGCGCCTTTATTTCACATTGCGAAATTATTTGTTTATAGCATTATATGTACCAATATGTTACACCTGTACAGTGTTGATTGCTCATTTTTGTCGTATACATGTTTGTATGCTTCGCTCGGATGTATTACGCAAATGCTTCCTTTTTTTTAAGGCAAATACGCCAACATTTTTTGCATCTTTTGAAATAGATTTTTTGTCGTTGTTGTTTAAGCATTAGACGTTTCGTTTTATCCCACATGTACAGTGATGATTTCTTTCTTGTCATAGACCTGTTTATTTTACGCGTATGATCCCGAATGTTTTTATGAAAGTGTTACCGCTGCTGCGATGTGTTCGGGGGGGGGGGGGGAGGGGGGCTTGCGGCCTTGTCAAGCTGGCATCACGCCAGCTTTTTCTGCAGGTCTCCTGCATCATGTATCGTTGATGCGAAATAAAGTCATTATATTATTATTATTATCATTAGCTCAGCCATTCAAACTGGACACACCGGCACACTCTGTAAGGATCTTATATTGAGTGATGAAGCCAAGATAAGAACTGCATCACCCACAGAACCACGCTGCTGTACCAGATTCCGCTGACAACTGTTGAGAAATCACAAAGGCCATGCCCGCCCTTGCAGAAAAACTAGCATGTACAATGGGTTTTGGCCATGCTTATAGCAATTAAAGCCGTGGTTATTGCAAATTGAGATGAGTCATGTTCCTTTTTTTTTTTCACGAAATATGGGTAGACCTCAATTGGAATACTCAAAATTAGAATAGAGCAGAATATGTCGAGTGAATACATCACGCTTGACGTAGTTTTCTTGGCCTATTCAGTTTCCCTTCAACGAGCCACAATCTCAACACAGCCAAGCATGTACAGTGCTCATAATTCAAACAAGACATTTTGTTCACTGCTGGTATGCTCAACTGCTCAAGATAACCCCGTCATGTTGCGTTGAATTCGGTCTCTAGAGGTATTGTCGGCTCTGACCTACAAGCATCGAGGAGAAATCACGCCGATGTGTCCCTGGCTGAAGATAGAGACAAAAGTATGTGCACTACTCATACAAAAAAGAAAAAAACACTCACTCGCATGCTCTTCAAGCCACCGCAGGACGCCCTCGGCCTGGGGCATGTGGTGGGGCATGCAGAAGAAGGGCGGCAGAACCGGATCGTCCTGGGTGAGTCTGAGATAGGCCATTAGGTCTTGGACAACAGCCCAGTAGTTGGTTGTGCCCAACTCGAAACCGGTGATAGGTATCCCGTGAGTGTCTTCACCTAAGAACAATGGAAGAAAACAGAACAAATAAAGGGGTTCTAAAGTAGACCTGTGCGCCGGTAACAAAATTGCCAACAGCGGTGCGCCGGTAACAAAATTGTTAACAGCGGCGCGCCGGTGTTTTCGCCTTCGGCAGCGGCACATCAATGGCGCAGAGTTCATCAGTTCGACGCCGGCATGGCACGAGGGGGGGGGGGGGGGAGGGGGGATATTAAGGTTCAAGAATTGGTGGGCATAAAAATTTGTCCCTAGAATTTTGAAAAAAAAAAAAAAAAAAAAAGAAGATGTTTTCTGAAAAGGCGAAGCAGTTATCGTGGGAGCAGAATGTCTTAATTATTCTAATTCATTTTTTTACAAAGGCAAGACTGATATCCCAGTTTTCCAGACATAGTAGGTGTAAATACAAATGCTCAGCACCTTGAAAAAATGCAATTTACCAAAACACACGTTTACGCAATTCTTTTTTCCAATTTCTCTGCACAGAGTCTATGCAGATACCCATCAAGCTCCTTTTAAAAGTGGATGTGCTACAGAGAAGCAAAAAAAAAAAACAAATATGAAACGAAAACAATTTTGAATTGATCAAACAGGCACAATATTTAGAGGATCAAATCACCGTATATGGTGTGAAGGAAATGCAACGAACGATATGGGTGCTAGTCTCTTGAGCCCGTGTAAACTATCTTATTTATGCAGGAGGATGACACTATCGCAAGTGCAACATTGTTCGAAAGGGGCTGCAGCGATAAAACATGCGCATGTGAAGTAGGCAAGAAACACTGGTCATAGCACCGAAGTATAAGCACTATTGCTTGTTTTTAAACAGATTCTAGCATAGTTATGTTATGTTGCGGTGAGACCACCAAAAAACCAGCGCACACTCGATTTGATTGATAGTCAACGTGTGGCGCTAACCACTACCCCACAATGCGTGCATAGCCTAGAGTGCTAACGGCATACACTGTTCGGCAGTCCTCATACCTTCAAAGCTTTAGCACATTTTTTTTATCTGTGGCGAGATGGCACTACGGGCTCGCATTGGGCGCGCCCTAAAGGTCGGCGCCTCCACGAAGCACTGCCAACACGAAGCCTGGTCTCTCCTGGGCGCCCGCTTATGAGACTTGTTCCTGTGTATACTTGTGCGCTCTTTTCGTGCGTCTTTTCGTTTTAACAGTGCACTTAAGTGCCAAGCTGTGATAGTTGTTAGTCCGCAATCGCCCTGTGAGCGCTAATTTTGTGCGTGATTTCTGCTTGAGGAGTGCACTGCAAGTTCGAGCTGCTTTCCATTCTTAACATGACTGCAATTTATTGCTGTTGCTGAAACAATGCACAATAAACACCCAACTACCTCTGTAAAGACACGTTTCACTTTCGTGTTATACCGATTCCTATGTAGGGGTATCAGCCATGTTTTTTTGTAAGAATTCCGACCTCCTCCTCAATGCAACATTTCTTTTTCTGTTTTTCATCCTCCTGCTCCTGTCTTTTCTGGTTGTCCAGAAATGCACAGTGCTGGTTCAGTGCATAAACTATTGATGTTCTCAATTCTTTTGTGATGGACACATGACATATGCCAGCTGCTACATTTACTATCCCACAAATAATGTGCTAAGAAATATGCAACAATATTTTTAAAAAGAAGAAAAATTCAAAGATTTTCTAGGGTTTGCAAAAATTCCAGCACTTTCAAGGCCTTGGATAGGAACCTTTCGAATTCAAGGGTCTTCAAGGATTTCAAGGACCCACATGAACCCTGCCAGTGTTTTAGCCCCATCCACCCTGAGGGACACTAAAGCCCATCAAGCACAGCCTACCAGTATTCGTAATTGCATCCAATTTACGTGACATTATTCCAAGAGACATGATATTCTATTGCAAGAGAATAATGCCACAATACATAGACTGTCATATTTTTCCTTAATTCATCTTGATGAAACTCGACTAAAGATATCCAATTATGAGATAGTCATCGACGATCTGTTAATGCATGAGTAGAATGAAATTTCAGGCTGGAAATGTTCAGCAGTTTCATTTTCAGTAGCATTCATTTAGAGCAAACAAACATTTCAGATATGGCTCACAAAAAGCAGCATGTTGAATGACTAGTCAAACATCGTAGTGTCCTCGGCAAAGTGATGATATCGAGCAATATGCACCAAAATAAGCTAACTGAAAACGGACTCACTGATTATGCAGGCGGTTCAATTCATCCAAAGCTCGTGGTATCTTCTTAGCCACTAGTCAGCACAACTATACTGGGAGACAACTTTTCTAGGCACTGCTGTGGAGCCTACAGAACTCTAACGCATTCCCGCTAGCACGTTAAGAAATGTAGCACAATTTTAGTTTTTAAATTAATCTTGCTCAAATAAGCACTGCTCTATTATGAGACAAACGGTTCTGGGGAACAGGACGCAAAGCAAAATTATTTATTTTACAGAAAGTTGTTCATTGTTTATTTAATTTTTTGCATTTCTAAAAACCACATTTGCTGCATGCCTACCCTCTGCAGTAAACAGGGTACCTCTGATGTCAGTTGGTCCGCGAGCACCCCCAAGCTCGACATCCGATCCTCAAAGAACAATATACTCGAAATGTGACATTGAAGTTTATAGTAAGCAAGCTCAACTTGAATGCTCCGCGGCGTGTTCTAAAACAGCTAGGCTAATGAATCCACCACGTAGCTTTGCGTTCTTTTGCAGAGATGTTACCAATGCAAGTCAATATACTGTCCATGCATACCTAGGTATTCTATTGGCAACAGCGTCCAGCGCTTCAGCCAAACCAGTGCACATGTAATGGAGCTCTCGAGTAAAGTTTGCGGACTGTAAACCGAACAATAGAAATGTCTCTTTACCATTCACGTTTTTTTCTAAGTGCATTAAAATCAAAATTGGAATTGAAGTCCGTCCACTGCCAGCTACTGTACTACTATCAGAGTAACCTGAATGTGTAGAAGCCCTGCCTTCGTAGCCTTCACTGCACTGCCACAATTAGCTATCTGAAATAGCAAAAGCAGGTATGTATATAGACATGTACTATCGGCATCAAATGAAACACAAACAGCGAAGAGCGTGGCCCAAACATTAGCAACTGTATAGCGCGCTTTGTCCAGTCATTACCACTGCCCCATGCACACATCCGGTTTGGCAGCACAGTGCAATGTCTCTGCAATGCAATAATTTTGCTTGCACTTTAGTTCCGATATGATGCCGATAGGGGCCGATATCGGCCGACGTGGGCACACCAAAAACTTTTGCTCGTTTCAACTTTAAGTTTCTTCTTTCCATTGCCTCCGTATCGAACAACAGAACTAGAATAGAGGTGAAAATATCAGACTCTGGAGGAATCGCACAGTGCTGCCAGACTGGATGTGTGGAGCGTACCAGTAGTCTAGGGGTGATTACTGGAGGGTGCACACTACATCTTCTGTAACGCTTGCGGCACACGCTCGGCTGTTCATGTTTCATTCGACACTAGCTGTACAAAACTCCTGAAAGAGTTAATGGAAAAAGCAGAACATTACTAGTTTAAGAGTTACGAAGAAGACGGGTCATTACTTGTGAGGTTACCTGCTGCAATCATTTCCGAAATGCCTCATCCTTTTTGCCAGTTTTCACGCCCATGACACATTTATGAATAAGGCAGAAGCATTAGTGCATCATTTCAGACTACTAACATGTTATTTCAGAAGAATTCTTTCATTGTCACTCAAACATCACAAGGATGATTGGGGCACTTACTGTGGTCTTTCGCAGCACTGGCAAAACCAAGTGGTATGCGACCTGAGAATGAGTTACAGGCAATTAATATTCAAAATAGTAATCAACTGTCTCGTGGAAATGAAAAAAAGCAAACTTCATACCTGGGTTAATGAACTTATGATATGCACGGATGAATCCTGTTCGATTGAATATTCAATGAGTCCGATTTCCAAGGATAATATACTCCATTCGTCCTCGCAAGGATGTTTTGTGGCCAGGATGTAAAACGGAATTTCTTTATTTCTAGAAGGCAAAAAAAAAAGGAGCAAGTCACTGAGGGGTTAAGTTGTCCAAATTATAGTCTAGCAAAAAGGACAGAAAATATCAGTAACAGTGACAAAGCTGCTACTATAAGGTGCACTGACGGAACAAGATATGTCGCAAGACGATGCATACCATCGACGGTTCCGATATCATCCACATATCTTTGGATACTGGCGACCATCTCTTTCTTTGGTTTATCTCTTCTTCACTTTGTTCCCTTAATACGCTCTGAAAACAATACAACCTGCTTAATTAAATCAGAATGCAAACATCACCTGCACAAGCAAAACAAGGTTTGTCAATAGCCCCTTATGGCATAAAAAAAGCGAATCGTACTCTGCTAGTTGTGGCACGATGTCAATTGTGGGACCATACGCAGCCCGCCAGTTAAGATGCTGTGAACAGAGTAGGCATACATGACCTGCACGTAATCGTAATGCAGGTTCAGCCTTCGCTTATCTTTTCCTGAAAAGAAGGCGACCAAAGCGGCCGGATGACACACCTTGGGAAGGCTGGATTGACACTGTGCGTGCACACTAAAATCGCTAGACCAAGGAAAAAGAACAAATTTGGTGCAGTAAGGAAACAACCAGAAACACTTAGCTCACGAAAAAAGGTTCTCCCTGACAACTACACAACTCTTGCATTGAAAACATATCTCGTTCAGCTGATTCACATAAAAAACAGCGCCAATAACGAGGGACAAGAAAAGAAGGAGACAGACAGCGGCACTGACTTACAATATTTATTTGCTAGAACCGCACAATATATACTTGGGCAGTATCTGACAAAAACAGAAAAATAGAAAACAGGATTTACCTAACAACCACGTAATCATCGTCATAACGCACCATGAACAACACGTGTGCTAACATTCTGAAGAAAATATGTTTTTTTTTGTGATAGCGCAATCGAAAGCCTGCCGACACATGCACTGTCCAGCCTTTCTATTTCTGCAGCCGCATAAATTTTAAGTATCATCTGGTCCCGATGATGCCTAATGACGACGGTACAATGTTTAAAATCGGGGACACAACCGCAGTCTTCGCAATGAATGCCGTGGTGGCCTGAAACTGTAGAGGAGACGTCGTGAGCGTGCTCTTTCAGCCGCTCATTTAAGCACCCGCCTGTTTGGCCGATGAACCACTTGCCGCAGGACAGGGGTAGAGAGTACACCACCCCTTCGATGCATGGAACGTACTTTTTCTGATGCTTGATTTTGCAGCCTCGCTCTCCCCTGGAACCAGGATTCACGACCCTGCAGAACTTAGCCAGCTTTTCTGGGGCAGAAAAAACAGGTCTACGTCGCACCTGCTGGCCACTTTTTGAGGTTGTGGGCGACGCCGTGGATATAGGGAATAACGAAGAAGTTTCGTTTCCCCGTCCCTTATCCTTTGTATGGGTTAAAGCATTATTCTCTGGGCTCATTCTGATTTCTCAGAGTAGACACTCAGCAACGGTGGTCAAAATGTAGCATTGGGAAACCATCTTCGGGAATGAGCCCAGAGAAATGATGCTTGAACCCGTGACAAAGGATAAGGGACAGGAGCAACGAAACTTGTCGTGTTTTCCTATATCCAGCGGCGTCACCCACAACCTCAAAAAAGTGGCCAGCAGGTGCGACGTAGACCTGGTCTTTTCTGCCCCAGAAAAAGATGGCTAGGTTGTGCAGGGGCCGTGAATCCTGGTTCCAAGGGAGAGCGAGGCTGCAAAATCAAGCATCGGAAGAAGTACGTTCCGTGCATTGAAGGGGTGGTGTACTCTCTACCCCTGTCCTGCGGCAAATGGCACATCGGCCATACAGGCAGGTGTTTAAATGAGCGGCTGAAAGAGCACGCTCACAACGTCTCCTCCACAGTTTCGGGCCACCTAGGCATTCATTGCCGAGACTGCGGTTGTGTCCCCGATTTTCAGCATTGTACCGTCATTAGGCGTCATCGGGACCAGATGACACATGAAATTTATGAAGCTGCAGAAATAGAAAGGCTGGGCAGTACATGTGTCAGCAGACCTTCGATTGCGCTATCACAAAAAGAAATAGATTTTCTTCGGAACGTTAGCACAAGTGTGCTCCATGGTGCGTTATGACGATGATTACGCGGTTGTTAGGTGAATTCTGTTTTCTTTGTATTGTATTTTTCTCTTTTGTGTCAAATACTGTTTTAGAATATACTGTGCGGTTCTTGCAAATAAATCTTGTTGTAAGTCAGTGCCGTTGTCTGTCTCCTTCTTTTCTTGTCTCTCGTTATTGGTGCTGTTTTTTATGTGAATCATGTCGTAACAACTTGCCCAAGCGACCACGTTAGCTTCATTCAGCTGACGGCACTACATGCGTAGCAACTCCTCGCGTGATGAATGAATGAGACACATAAAAAGAAGCATGTCAGCATGTTCACTCACCGCAATGGTGCGCCCATCGGACGTGAGTTTATTTTCCAGGGATCCAACTTCATTTCCTTGTGACGATTAGCCAAGGCTTCGTAATGAGCTTTCTGCTGCTCAGTCAACGACTGCAACGTAAACGTCAGTAGAGTTCGTAAAAGCACAAACGACGCACTGATAGTGGAGCAGTAACGAGGCATTCACACCAGAAGACTTCTCCAGCCGTACGGAAAATATAAAGAACCACAGCAACGCATGACGAGCGTAGAACCTCCGCGTCAATTGGGAAACCGCTGGTGACAGAAAAGAAACGCGGGCGAGGCCCACGCTCGAGCCAAGGCAACGTCGTTGACCGCGCCATTTTTGTTTGACGCGCAATAAACAAAAACCTTCGTGTGCACAATGTCACGAAACGGGACATATAGAAAACGCGAAATACGAAATCTATAAAAAAATATATGTAGAAAACGCGTATGGAGAAAGTGCCGGCATACCTTCCACCTTTCTCCGGCCTCTTCTCTGACTGCGTCTAAGGAGAAGGGCAGGTTCCGTTCTCGACGCTCCTTCTGAAGTTCTAGCAACAGAAAGTAGAACGGTCCTTTTTCTTAGGAGCCATTGCGAGATATTAAGAGCACGTGCAGCACGAGCTTACAGCGACCCGACAGCCCGTGGATTCCCGCAATGCGAAGGCGCCAGAAATATTAAAAGAGACACAGCCCCTAGATTTCCCTTGCCTGCCGGAGAATGAGCGTGAAACGCCCGTCATTATGGCGCGCTGCCTACGTATACTGTAGGCGAAGGGGTAGACAAAGTATGCAGAAGCGTGTGTAGAGGAAGAAGAAAATGCCGAACACTGATAATGTTCTGTAAAGGGCTTCATCCCTATAGTTCAGGATGATGGCGCAGAGTTTTTCAAAGCACTGGGGTTTAGGGACAGGGAGGCAAAATAGACTTTAAGCGGCAGGACTTAACTGGAAGGAGGTTATCTGATTTGTGGCTAGAGTAAGGCACGAGTGGAAAATTAAACCCTTCACTGCAAAGTATGAAACCTCAATTCACTATTTAAAGGGAAAAAAGATAAATCTAATAATAATTCCCTAATTATTACGGCTAGGAGGCGTTAGCCGCCGCCTGATGTTAAGGGTACAGCCACGTTATCTATTATTTTTAGTTTTTGCACGCCTCAGTCTGTTTTGCAAGGTCGGTTGGTTGCAGAAGAAGCAGCGCGCAACAAGGAGATAAGTTTTTTTAATTTTTTTTGGTTTGTGAACCTCACTCATTAATTAGTCATTAATCATCAATTGTGAGTATTGTAGGTGTGGGACACTGGCAACGTTGTAGTACGTGACACGTGAACGGGGTCGGCGGCTGTTTTGAAGCAAGTTCGGGACGCCCGGTTAGTTGTTAAACAGCTAGAGCCGAACACGAAGGGGACCTAGTGAGAGCCTGCTAGCGAAATTGAACACGTATGTGTGCGGTGTAGGCGGCAGCTTCAAACAGTTGTTGAGGTAGGAGAGTTAACGTAGGCGGCTGGATAACGGGATTAGGGTTAAACGTAGGGCTGTCGGGCGCTTGGTCCGATGGTCGGGCGGGGGGTGGCGAAGGAGGCTAGGAAAACCACGAGCGAGAGTGAGCTGGTGCAGTGCGAAGAATGCAAGCGCTGGTGCTACTTAGATGAGACAAAATCCTCGAGTTTGGTCGACGCGCAGAAGGCGAGCTTCGTGTGCAGGCTGTGCGAGGCACAAGGCGGCTGTGCAGCGCATTGAGGCTAGCATCGAGGGGCTTCAGGGGGAGCTTTGGGCGAAACGGGAGCAGAGGATAGAACTCCAAAAACAGCTCGGAGCGTCGCGTGAGCGGGAGGAGGCTACCGCCAGCCTTTTAGAGCAAATGAAGGGCGACCTTCGAAAAGAACGGGAAGGGCGGACCGGGCTCGAGCAGCGGGTAAAGGAGCTGATGGCGCTTTGCCCCGGCCCCGAGCGGTGTGACACGGAAGGCATGGGTAGCGGAGAAGGTGACAGGTGGGAAGGAACTGATGAGAAGGGAGGTCAGGGGGCCGCAGTGTCTGGCCACAGCACGGAGGCCCCGAGAACATACAGCTCGGTGGCGTGGCAGTCTTCGAGCAGGGCAGGAACACAGGACAAACGGCAGAGAGAGAAACAGGTGAAGCAAACAGGGGCGCCATCACAAACAGGAAGCCAGCGATTGGAGCGTAGAAGGGTCTTGGTGGTGGGGGACTCTTACGTGGCCGGGGTTAGGGATAGCGTCTTCAAGACAGTGAAGGAAGACGGGAGAGTGAGGGTGGAGGCCCAGTCAGGGAAGGGCATGGTGGATGCACTGGCCAAAGCTCAGGAGGTTGTCGAGGACAGCATGAAGGACGAAAATCTCGTCATTATTCATGCTGGGCTCAATGATGTGTTGAAGGGCAAGGATCAGAACCTTCAAAGACAGTTAAAGAATGGGATGCTGTTATGTCCGGTGTTGTCGTCG